AAAATTTCATATCTGTTGCATATCACCATTCTTTGAATAAAATGAAGCATAACTTCAACAATTTTGATTTGGGAATAGTTTTTAAGAACAACACAAAACTAAAAGATGTTATAATAAACTCTAAACAAAAAATAGACAACAACCAAAAGAATGGGGTCTACAAAATTAACTGCAACGAGTGCGATAATTATTATATAGGTCAAACTGGTCGAAACTTAAGGACTAGACTAAATGAACACTTAAACAATAATAATTCAGCCGTAAATAAACATATAATTTCAACAAAACATTCTACAAACACAATAACACTTTTACATAACATTCCAAAATCGAAAAGTCTGGATCTGTATGAAGAATGGGAAATATTCAGACATAAATACTACGAATAGGATAAGATGTTAAATGAATTTACTGAAACCAACAGAAATCACATTTTTATAGAAGTTTTTAATAAATTAAAATCCAATGCTAATTTTAAATTCGCGCCAATGCAAAAATGTTGAATTCCTTTTAATTCTTCCGTCCGACTTTGTTTTTGACAGTCGTACATCGCTGTAGATGAAGATTTATTGTATAGTATAAAAAAATTATTCTGTAATAATTTCGAACATCCTGTTCCAAAACTTTGCATGTGCAACTGTTTAAATGTAAGGAAGGGAATTTTGATGAGTTTTAACGTTTATTTTGTGTGATTTTTGACAAGTGAACACGACATAACCTCTAAGAATTTTCTGTGTAATAAATAGAATTGACATGCCTCCAAGTTTTCTTCAAGAATTGAATTCCCTTTTGACGGTAAATACTTGTTAATTAATTAATTATGTTCCTTTAGATTTTCAATACATGTTTTAATTCGTAGCGAACAACCTGAAGACGATTATAGAATAATCGAAACCGGTCGTTGAGAACAAAAATTTTTAAATAAAATTTAATCTTCAGAAATACATTCTGTATTATTTTCACCGATTACTATAATTCACCTGAAGACAATGGAGAAATTCATTAATTTAACTCTATGAATATTAAGTTGCGACTACATAAAATAAACACGCAACGAACGAATAATAAATCTACTATTCATAAAGTGGCGGTAAATGTATTTGTCCCGCTATATACCATGTCCCATTATATACCACGTTCCCCTACGTATTTACTTACACTTACTTCCGGATGGCGTTGCAAGATAATGGCTGCGATTATAAAACCAATTTCTACCTGGAGACCACTTTGACATACTATTCTATCATCCACTGATTTCATTGCAGCATTCAACTACTCTGCGGTCCAGAGAGCTACTTTGTCATAATTTAGGGGTTTAATGTTTGTAACCAATGTTGAGTCAAAAAAAGTGATGTAATCTTCTAATATGTATTTTGGTTTTAATATAAGGAATATACATATATAACGCAATTTTTTTTGAATATTTTATTACGCTTTCCCATTCCCAATAACCCACCACCAAATACAGTAAATAAGAAACACCATACATTAATATGGTGAAGTTTAGACAAACTTCAAAAATAATGAAATAAATTAGTCAACATTAGCCGGTGTAATACCACTATTAGCTAAAAATTTCAACATAATCTTGCCACTAGTTAAAGTCTCCACATCTGCTGTTCCTTGGCAATGCTGAGATGATGAGTGACTTGCAACTGCTACTAATTGTCCTTTGTACGTGAATGGACCACCAGAATCCCCCTAAAACCCAAAGAATGCCAAGATTAATATATATTTCTTTAAAAACATGTGGGTTTTACTTGGCATGGCCTATTTGGAGTCATTTTAAGGTACAGTTCAGGGTCTTCAACTTTAGAAACTTTCATGTCAGTTTTCTGTAGACTTTCAGAAAAATCTCCCGCACAAAATCCATACTCATCGAGTGAATCACAACTTACGGATCCGTGTCCGACTAAAGTAACCGAAGCACCAACCGGTGGCGGTTTGGGTGCAACGTCGATTGTTGCTACATTACCACCCAACTTAACGTCTTTGTCCAAGTACAAGATGGCTATATCATAAGTATAATGTTTGGTCTCATATTTTTCATGAATTTTTACATCACTCGTATTATAATATGGTGCTTCAGGTGGACTCACGGCCATTTTTCTAAAACTTTGCGTTCCGGGAAACACTTTTAATGGTTGAGTCCCTTTCCCAGCTGCACAATGAGCAGCTGTAAGAACTCTGTTCACCGTCACCAAAGCTCCGCCACAAAATACACTCTTAGCGTTTATAACACCAACGTAATATTTATAATCTGATATGTCGACATCTGTACCACCAATAATTCTTTTTAAGGATGAACTACCACGATGTTTCTTTTTATGACTATGTTTTTTGCTTACACCTAAATAATTATAATTTCTTAAGTATATTGAGTGACTGATTATAATTTGTAATATAAATACTTACCTTGTTGTTGAGCTGTTGATATAAACAGTAGAATTGCGAATGCAACCAATATTTTAGAATTCATCTTTTTTATTGCCTTTCTACAATGAGAATGTGTAGATAATATATAACTTTGTGCGATTGTTTATATACCTCAACAACTGCATATTTATAAACAATTTCATAACTGATTTATAGTAATTACAGTAAAATTAAGTAATTTAAGTATGAAGGTAATTATGTTTGAATTCTTTAAGACTATTAGAGCAAATTATCTTCAACAATATTTGTTTTAATTAAAATAGTTTTGTGTATAGGCTTTATATATGAAGTTTACGAGTCAATATGGATATTACAGTGATACATCTTATAATTTTAGGGATTCCTAAATTTCATAGCTTTTGTAGTTTTTATGCGAAAGCACTTAGAAGACGTAGAGGGTGTTATTACTTCTTCCTGTATCACTACATCCACCTTTGTATTAGTTAGTTTTTGGTGTGTGTAGGATTAGCTTTGGATACAACATAGACTTCATCAACATAAACTGAGATTCTTAAGGGCCGGGCAAAAAAATCAGTGGAAAAGCCGTATAAATAATATACAGGGTGTATCTGAATGACTGCAACAAACTTCAAGGGGTGATTCTTTAGTAAATTTTAAGGGTACTTTGATATATGAACCATGGGCGACTTCGTCTCCCCTAACGAGCTACACCCCTCCAAAAATGGCGGAAAATTTTGGTTTAATTTTTTTTTCTCAAAAACGATAAACACTAGGAAAATGAAATTTGGGGAATATGTTTAACTTATAATAGGGCACGTTTTGACCCTATTTGTACTTTCAACCTACCCTTCTAAACTACTAAACGTAACCACCCCCGTTCAATTTATGCCTAGATTTTTTTTATTAGAAGAGAATTAGAGTCAGATAAGCGAGAAATTAGAATCAGATAAAGAATTTGAAGAAATTTTAGTCGACGCTAGACTTTTAGCAGATACTTTAGAAATCGAAGCAAATTTTGAACAAAATTTCGTCTAAGAAAGAAAAACGCCAATTCAATTATGAAAGTAGAGATCATCCAGTAATTGAACCAAAACAGGCATTTAAGATAAATTTCCTTCCATCCTAGATATAGCTATAAATTCATTAAAAGAAAGATTTGTGCAGCTCCAACATTACAATGATATATTTAGCTTTTTGTATGACATTAATAGAAACCAATAGCAAAAAGTTATTGATGATTTGCTGATGCGAAATGCGAATGCCCGGAAAGCAGTTTTGTCTTAAATATAAATATATACAATAATATACATTAACCGTGTATGGTTAAGCATGACCAAACACAAAATGTATATGAACCTGAATTCTGAATGGCATTAGCAAAATTCAGGAGGTGATTCCTTCGCGAATTTTAATGGTACTTTCTTAGGAACTATGAGTAAGACATTTTTTAATAAGCAAATTAATTAAGTAACCATTAACTGTTAAGTTGTAGGGTTATTAATCAAAAGTATGAATGAATTTTAGTCTTGTTCACATAACGAACAATCCTTAAAATCTGCTAAAGAGTCACATGAACTTTGGCAATGTTATTCATATGCACTCATATACATTTATCTATATTTATAAGTACCTATACCTAATGTGTACCTATATGTAGTACATGTTGATAATAATATTATTTTAATTGATTGCATTTTTAACTTACAAGTAGAAAGCTAAAAATTTAGGTGTAGTTGTGTTAAATAATTCACAATAATAATTTGTATAAACACAACACTGTTACTAATGTGGGACACAGAGCAATAGTGAATTCCTTACGATTTACCCCAATTTATCTTAGTACAATTGTTAATAATAACGAAGATACAGATGGTTAAAGTTAATATTCTATTTATGTTTTTCTTTAATAATTAATAATTTAATAAACATGAAAATTGGTAGATTATCATTTTTTAAGAGGATAAATAATAATTTGGAATTAGTTTTGATTTATCTTTCAGATAGCGCTGCCTGCCTTAAAAATATCCTTTAAAGTAGTCATGTTTTTCATCGTTAAAATTTTTACAACTCACACAATTTGAAACAGTTTCTCAGACATTTTTACATACATTTGGTATACCTACCAATCTTCTCTAAAGTTCTCCGTTTCCAAGATAATCACTGTTTAAGGGCATTTTGCAAAATTTAACTATGGTCAGAAAACATTAGTTGGCGTTGAAAATGATTTTATTTGGTCAAACACTAGACGAACACTGTCAATTAGCATTAATCATTAATGCCAATTGACAGTGAAACTTATTAAAGAAAAACAAAAATAAAGCATTAACTTTAACCATCTGTATCTTCGTTATTATTAACAATTGGACTGAGATAAATTGAGTTAAATCGTAATAATTTAATGTAAGGAATTCACTGTTGCTCTGTGTCCTATTAGTAACGGACCAGCCTGTATATACAGGGTGATTCAGAAAACCGCTGACAGACTTCTAGGGCAGGTAATACAACAAAAATTAAGATGAAAAGTCTCAATATACATGGGGTCGCAAATACCTCCTTAACGAGATATAGCGAGTCAAAGTTTCTTTAAAATTAAACATTATCTGCAATAAAAAGCCCTTTTTTAAAAACATTTTCAACTCCACTGCTAATTTTGTCAAACCTGCAGTATTTTCGTGTAAAGTGGTCAATTATCTATCAATTGGTCTCTTACAAAACTTTGATTGAATTAACAAATTTTCTACAAACGTGTTTTTCTTAAAAACTATTGCTTTTTTATAATTGATCACTTTACACGCGTAGAGAGCAATGGCGTAGACAATATTTTTAAAAAAGTGCTTTTTATTGCAGATAATGTTTCATTTTAAAGAAACTTTGATCCGCTATATCTCGCCAACGAGGCATTTGCGATCCCATGTATATTAAGACTATTCATCTTAATTTTTCATGTATTATCTACTCTAGAAGTCTGTCAGCGGTTTTTTGAATCAGCCTGTATAAATACATTTCACAATACATTTAATTTTTATTTGTAATTTTGCATTTTTCGATAGAAATCATCAAGTGAGATTTTCTATTAACATTCCCTTCACTTCCCTTTGAAATATTTTTCCCTCCAGTTTCCATAACCTCAATGGTAAACCATCATATAACTTGATTGAAATATACAGTGTGTCCCAGGATAGATGTTACAAGAGGTACAATCACTTAAAAATGATTGAATTTTATTTTAAGGTTGAGGCATTAAGCTCTGCTTGGTGCGGAGAGAATTTTAAGTATATTTTCATATTTTGAAAATCATCTCGGCCTTGATAGTGAAGCGAAAACTATTTTGAGTTCAGATAAAGCAAGCTTTTTGTTCATGCAAAATTAGCCTTAAAATAAATTTCAAACATTTTTAAGTCATTATACCTCTTGTAACATCTATCCTGGGACACACTGTATGTAAACGTACTTTGCGATTTCTGCACTCTGCGAAGAGGTGGTAATAAATTATCTCCAAAACGCGTGTCATAATTATTGTGCGAGTCTTTATTTCTCACCAATGTTTCTTTTTGTTCGTGTACATGCTGGAGGCAAGCGAGAATGAAACATGATGGCATTGTTAAAATGTTTATACTCTTAATGTGTCCTCTACAGCTTTCCCTGTATTCCAGCTGCTTCAAAATCTCTTCAGACTCTCTAGATGCACCCCATGCGAGTATTCTGTATACTGGCATACCATGAATGTACACAAAATACACATTTCTTAGCCGTTATCCAGGCAATATTTTAGATACTACTCGCAGGCAATACAATCGCTAATTTCCTTTTTAATTCTATTATGTGATCACGCCAAGAAAGGGTTTCAGATAATATTACACCTAGAAATTTTGTCGTTCGATTTTTTCCTCTTGTGTTTTTCTGGTATATGAGTTTTTTTCCTATTTAAGTGTAAATAATTCGATTTGAACCAATTGTTGGCTGTATGTAATGTTTTTTTAGTCTTTTGATCCAGGTCCAGAAAATCCTTTGAAGTATTTATAAAAGAGGTGTAATCAGCATATATACACATAGAGTCCGCCTGTATACAGGGTGTTTCATAATACATACGCAGGATTTCAGGATGTGATAGCTTGTCCAAAAATTTTTTAAAAAGTTTCTATCTCTAAAAGTTTGTAAGTAGGTTTGTGCGAGAAAAAATTTGTTTAAAATCACAGTTGGTGAAGATTTTGAAAGGGTAGTGGTTGTTTATCTCCCCAACTTCTACGCCACCAGTGGCAGAAAGTACGGTTTTGAGACGCCCATTTAAAGGTACTGAAGGTCATGTGCTCTAAAATTGACCGTTTTCGAGAAAAATCAATTTTTATGTTGAATATCATGGTCAATTTTTTGAAATAAAAATTTTATTTTGCATTTAAACAAAATTTATGTAAACGTTAGTACAAGTGACAAAAGCAAGCGTTAACTTCAAAATTGTTTCAAAAATACGCTCTCTTAATTGGTCAACATTTTCAACTGGAGTAACGTAGACTAGGGTTTTCAGATGACCTCAAAAGAAAAAATCTAAACAATTAACCTTCTCGACCGATCCAATGGGCTAGGTGTTCGTCGTCCAAGTATTGGCGAGCAACCAAACTAAAGTGGGTCGGACCTCCATCATGCATAAAGTACATGTTTTGTCTTACTTGAAGCGGTACATGTTCCAACCGAATTTCTCTATTAATTCAAAAGTAGCTACATATTATGTTTTGAGTTGTAGTAAGAAATGCTGTCATTGTTGATTTTTTCTGTTGATATCCGTGTTGATATTTTGTTATTAATTTCTTTTCCATTATATATTTCATGATTCTGTTTTTTATAATAGTTTCGTAAACCTTTGACATTATTGGTATTATTGATATGGTCTATATTTATTTTTATGATTTGGATGCCCTGATTTTTGAATGGGAATGACTCTAAAATACTTTAATTCATTTGGAAAAGTCCCTCTCTTAAGCATTTGTTTAATAATATACATAATACTTCTCTTATTGTTGGTTCTATGTTCTGAATTAGTTTCGTTGTCATCCCGTAAACATCTTTTGTATTTGTCTTACTCAAGTTTTTAATTACATTTTCCCCTTCTTCTTCTCCAGTTTCTTCTAGTTGCATTCCTTTTCCTTCTTTAATTTGCTTAAGAATAAT